AGTTTTGGGTTGCACTCAATTGGGTATATTTAATAAAATCGTCAATAATATGATTACCACTTGTCCAATTTCCGAAACTTTCCTTAAAAGCATTTACATCGCATACGTTACACCATCCCACACTTCTTCGTTCATTTCCGCAATCTGTACATTTTCCATAGTCTACATTAGGATTTGCCATATATCTGAAAGAAACATATCACGTGAATTAATAAATCATGTGAACATTAGTCAAATCTGTGTTTGGTAGGGATGTTAAGCGGTCCTAAGCGGTCCTAAAAGTCCCAAGAAAATTACATTTATAAATTTATTATGAAACTTGTCTATTATAATGTTTTAATGAGCTACTTAATGAAAGTAAATAATAAACCCTCCCGGAATCCCAGAATTTCTAAATTTTAGGATTTAGGACCGGGTCCCTAAGACCGGTCCTATACTTAGCGGTCCCATCAAAATTGCCAATTTTGAATATCATTTTCGCTTTTTACAAATTATAAAATTTTTATCGACAATTTTTTTGATGGAGTTACTTATTATAGATAAGTGATTAGACTTCTCTAGAGTTAGTAATCTCCTAAATCGTAAGGACCGGTTAACATCCCTAGTGTTGGGAGATTGGTTTGGAAACTTTTTAATATATCCAATAACTTTTTCAAATATTTAAACACTATCACTGTTTTTAAAGTTACGTAAAATAGAATTTGTAATCATCAATTTTAACTTTTATTACAATATTTTACTAGGTTAATCAGTGCTCAAGCAATTTTTTTAAAATAAAAAATATTAAAATCAAATCAAATAAAAAATTTTCAATTACATAAAGAATTTAATCAGAGTTTAAAAAACTTACAGTTATATTGCCTCAAATGAGTGTTGGCACTTTACAGTAAAAAAGGAGGAAATCTGAATTTTTTATTTAATTTTGCATACTACTGAGAGCCAATAAAATATTTTTTTGACCATTTCCTTTTCTACCATTCAAATTTTATCCATTTTAAGCAAATAATAAGTATTAGAATTCATTTTGTTTTTCCGATTCAGCTATAATGTATTTCTTTTTAGTAGAACAAGAACAAAAAAGTATTATTTATTTCGAAATGTAATTCAATCTTACGACATCCTCCGGGAATTGTTGTACATTAATTCATAAATAATGCGAGGAAAGAAAGAATTTTCATTAAACGGAAAATTCTATTGATCTTTATTCATATTAATTAAACCTAAATTTGTATTTATATAATTTTATATTTATTAACTAAATAAGTATATTATCTAATTTGAATTTCCGGAATTTGTTTCTTTCAATTAAGGTAATTAAGGTTCTTTTTTTCAACAAAGACATATAAGTCATCTATATTTGTAATGTTCAACAAACTTAATCACATTACAAATTTAGATAAGTTTCGGATAATAGTTCATAAATAATCTTTAAGTAAAATGTCACATACAATAATCACATTTAGCTTTTGATGACGTAAGCTGTAAATAATACAAGTGTCAATGGTGTAACAAAATTTCATATTTTATCACAAATGCCGATCATCTGCAAAATTGACTAAAGTTTCGGGCGACCTCGGGCGAACTCTATTAACTATTTAGGAATGAAATCAGCACAAATTCTCTTGAAAACAAAAGTTATCTATATGCTATTTACTACCAATTTTTTTATAAATAAACAAAAAAATTAGTTATTGTATTATAAATTAATTTAATAAATAATATAATATACCATGAAATCATTTTAATAAATATTATCAAGCAATGAATAAATAATATATCTAGCTGTGCAAATATTTGTAATTTTAATTCTTATGAATGCAAAGGAAGAATATAATATTGTCATAAAGGTAGGTAACGATTTATTACGTCGTTTTTACTAAGTAGTCTGGAAACAGAAAAAAATTTTATTCTAAAAATGCTATTTGTCTCATAATTTAAAATTCATAAGTTTATTGATTAATGATTTAAGGCATCCATAACGTACCCTATAAGGTATTTATCTAGGCGAAAATTCTAATAAAAATTTGTTGTCGCAAATGTTGGTCTCGCGTAATTTTAATCAAAAATGCATAACGTTAATTATTTAGGTTTTGACTGTACTAATAAATAACCTATAGTTGTGCATTTGCTTTTCAGAAGTTCTATTCGGTAGAGATTATGCTTCCTACTACTTAATTTGTTCAATAAAAATAAAAAATTAATATTTGAACGATTAAGTGATTTGGCTTCTTTATGCTTATGTGCTTTGCATATGAATGAAGATTTGATTTATATCTTTCTTTACTTAAAAAGAAATTTTGCTTTCCGAAATATTATTCTGGTTATAGGCGGGAATATCGTTGACCGTTTGGTTTAGTTTTATTTATTTTTTTTTTTTGTACATGAATGAAAATGCTTAACTACTTTTAGTATAGAAATGATAAAAGATGATGTCGTTCAGACGATCGCTTCGGCCCGAAGCGATCTTATTTTCCAAATAAAAATCTTGGTCCTTTAAGTTCCTCTTTGGATTATATCAACGAAAAGCGTTTTTATTTTTTATTTCAAATGATTTTTTTTTAAATTTTATTAATTATTTAATATTTTTTTTTTTTTTAGGCGGTTGGAATGTTGCGGACCGTAGAAATCCGTTAGATAATATGAATTGAACTAGATACTTGTTTGAACAATAGAACTTTTATCAGAATTAGGAGATTGTTTGTTGGATTTATGAACCCTTTTTTAAAATTTAGTATTGGGACGCAGCTCCGATACTTAAAAATACGGCTAAAAATTGAAGTAGTGTTTTTAAATAAAACTGATTTTTAGGCTGTAATTTTCAGTATCGAGGCGCAGCTCCGAATCGGGTAAGTGTTAAATATGTAAAAAAAAAATACTTACCCGATTCGGAGCTGCACCCTAGATACTCGAAAAGCTGTCTAAAATTAAAAAAAAAAAAGTTCTTTATACTAAACCACTGTCCAATTTATGCTGATTGCTAGCGTAAAGCATAAAATGCAGGAACGTCTAATCTATATTTGGAAATTGATCTAACCAATAACTGAAATTTATGATCGTCAAAAAAAATTATTTGGAAACCAAATAAAGTTAAGTAACGTTTTCGGCATTCTTTTATTCTAATTAATTAAACCTCCAATGTCCGACGAATTCCGTTTATACAAAATATTAAATATTTAATTATTCGGACAATAAATATACTGCGCAAAAATATCATAATTAATATTTCTGTATATTTTGCAATTTTATCTGTCAGTTCTATTATTTACATTTTCTGTAACCGAATGTTCGGATTAAATTTCTTCCGGTGACATAATACGGTGAGGGACCGCCGGTGATTGGCCGACTCAACTTGGAAATAAAAAAGCAAGCTGATGCATGAAGAAATCAGTTTTTTTTTTATTGATGTTGAAATTGCAAATGCACCAATTAAAATAATGATTAATAAAATTTGAGCATTTTGGTATATTTTGGCAATTTAGAACAATAGAAACATATTTTTTTTATGTTATAGATATTATGATAGATCATAACAATGATCATAAATACAAATCGCTATTGGTTTCGAAGTGCAAAATGAGTTGTCAAACAACGAAGATAATTTTTTATATAACTCTTTACGAGATCAAGTTAAATATATTACAATAAAGTATTTTTTTTTTTGGATACAAAAAAATTATTTAGTTAGGCGATTTTTATTCATGTGGGAGGTTGCTATTAAATTCATATTTCATATGGGAGGTTTGCTATTAAAATCACGTTACGGATCATATGATTTACTAGTTCGTGACTCAATATTAATAGCAAACCTCTCTCCCATATTACATGAAACGTTGTATCAATAATTAATTAAAAAGTATAAATAAGATGGGTTTTGAAGCTCGATTATTTTATCATTTCGAGCACATTAAATTGCGTAGCAAAGCTGAACTTTTTTCTTTTCATTCATCATTCAAAAGGATAAATTGAATTTTAAAAATTGTAAGTACACTTTGATATTTATTTTTTCACTCGGGCCAGAAATGATGTTATTTGATTTAACCATCATGAACTCTGTAAAATAACGTCATTTTCGGAGACAATTTTTGTACCCCAAATTAAGTCAATAATATTATGAATTGTTAAAGATATATTAAAAAACAAAGAATGTGTGTAGGAAAGACGCGGTTTCTGTGTATTAATCTTTTTGATACCAAAATTTTGAATCAATCTTGTTTGTGTCGTACAAAAATATCTGGCATTATTTCTTTAAAAAACAATATACACAAAAATTGACTGGCAGTGCCACATCGTTAAAAAAAAAAAAAATACACACAAAAATTGCACCACATTATGTTACATTATTACACATATCTTCTGATGTTCTTTAAAAATATTTTTTATTATTTTATTGAGATAAATCAATTGCTTTTAACGTAATAGAATCTGGGATGATTGTTAAGAATGTCAGATTCTGAGATTTTTTTTAACTAAAATTAAGAACTTAAATGTGCTCAGAATCTGAATTTTCTTGCAAACCATTTGAGTCGTTTGCTATTTTAAAATTAGATAAATCAATCACATGATACCTCATAAAACATTTTGTCATTCATACTAAGATGTCCTTATTTTTTTTTATAGACACATGTCCTATCAAAGTAGAGAACCTGATTTAACCTTGGCAGTTTTAGAAGAAACAGAAAATGATTCTAAATCAGTTTTTGGAAAATGTCTAGATTGTGGAAAAGAAAGAATTGGTGATGGATGGTGTAAAGATTGTGAAAGCAACGCCTTTAAAGAGAATTTTGGAAATTGGACAAGCGAAAATACTAATATTGACGATTTTATTAGAAGTACTCAATTGAATGCAAATGGAAGTGTAGAATATTTGGAATATATAAATTTTGAGCAATTTGATCTTATAGAAAATACAAATAAAGGCGGGGCATTTAGCACAACTTGTTCAGCGGTATGGATGGAAGGTCCTCGATGGATTTGGGATGAAATGGCTGACCAATGGATACGTAATGGGCCTATAAAGGTTGCACTTAAAAGACTAAATAACTCGCAAAACATAAGCGCAGACTATTTGAATCAAGTTAGTATTATTTTATTTATATTAATTTATTTGTTTAAATTTTAAGCATTAATAACATATTTGATAATGTTAAATGAAGATTTATAAATACCATCAATGTGAGAACGTTGCAGACTTTTTTGGAATAACTAAAGATCATACCTTGAATTATATGTTTGTAATGAAATATGAAAGTAATTCTTTAAATTCATATCTTGATGAAACTCAAGGAATGCTTTGTTGGAAAGATATTGTTGAAATGCTTTGGGAAATAGCTGGAGGGATTGAATACATTCATGTGAAAGGATTAATTCATGGAAATCTTCACGGAGGTAATATTTTAATAGAGCATGAGCCAGATTCAATTAATACACGTATTTGGGATGTAGGATTAAATGGCCCCGCCAATAGAACAGATTCGAATGACATTTATGGAGTTCTTCCTTATATAGCTCCCGAAATTTTGAGAGGAGATCCGCTAACCGAGGCTGTAGATATTTATAGCTTCGGAATTATTATGTGGACACTTTCTGCTAGTATCCGTCCATGGTGTAATAGACCACATGACTTTAAATTAGCTAGTGAAATTTGCTCTGGTCTTCGTCCTGAAATTATTGATGGAACCCCATATGTTTACATTCTATTGATGACACAATGTTGGCATTCTGATATTTCTAAACGTCCAACTGCATCTGAACTATATGATATATTAGGAAGCTGGATAGATTCCATTGATAACCCTATACCATCCAAATTTACCGAGCAATTTGAACTTTATGAAAAAAAAAACATTTTAAGCTTTCATCCGGAAAGAATCCATCCTGAAGCATTTTATACGAGCAGGTTCTTGTATTTTCCTGAATTGCATAAAAATAATGAACTTTGTAAAAAAAATAATTTTCTATAAGTATAATTATCGAAAACAAAATATAATTTGGCATTTAAGTTTAACATTATCTATAAAATAGCAAGAACACATTTTACAAACGCCTTTATTTATTCGCAACAATTAAATTTTGGCATTTAAAACGTCGATTATATTATTATGTCTATAATTATATATAAAATCATAAAAGTCAATAATTAATATTATTTAATATATGGAAATCAATAATAACTGGTTTAACAACCTTACCTAGACTCCTTAAAAATAATCCGTTGCTATGTAAACTCAGATAAATAGCTTAATAACTCTACTTAGAAATCACAATACACTATATAGAATTTAGAAATTAAGACATAAGTATCATAAGCTGTAAAAACATAAACTTTATAAAACCCTAAGTTTATTTATGAAAAAGAGATATGTTGTCAGAAATAAACGTTTCAAGTATATTAAATTGACAAAAATTTTGCTGAATAGTCATTTTTCGAGCCCGTGTATTATTGATTTAGGGGTCACTACATTATTGATCCGTGACCCACATATAATCTAAATGCACACTATGTATTTCTAAATGCACGCTCTCAATCAGTCACAAGCATATTGAGTTCATTTAAAGATTTCTTTTAATGCACATATCGTCGTTAAATTTTTAACCGTTCTGAATTGTTGAAACCATCGACCTTCGAAACCCGTCGAAACTGTCAAAATTATTTTCGATTCGATTCACAAGTTGTTTTACGAGATGGTGAACTTGGTCATTCCTTAGACCTGAAATGGAGTACCTTGCTTGACCTCTCTATCCTGTAATACCGCTGAATACCTAACAATGCCTCAGTGCCATCTGTTAGCCTATGGAGTCTCTCGGTTGGGGTCTGACTTAGGTACGACACCTGTTAGGTTAGTAATGAATACACTTTGCGTGGACTAAATAGGCTTACGAGAGTGATAAGCAGGCGAATCGTCGTAATTCGGGGTCCAAATCGCGGCTTCCGTTGATAAAATAGCCAAGCCTATAGTCATCAGATCAGAATACCAAAAAAAAAAAAAAAAGTCAAAATTATTTTCGACGTTTGCTAAAATGGGATTTAAGGTCTAGCTCATATCTACCTAATTAAATAAGCATATCATATAATTAAATGTAACATGGTACGTCAATAAATCGCTTTAATTAAAAGTATTTCAACTTAATCTGACAATAATAAGTGACTTGCTCGAAGCACAATAATGATCTCAAGAAAATTCTCCGGAGGATGAATCTCATCATGAGAAACGCTTTGAAGGCAAATCCCTTGATTATCAAAGATATAGTAAGACTTTTATGTTTTAGTTTAAAAACAAATTTTAAAATTAATTTTTCTCTTTAGGCGATCTTAGATCGTCTATTAGATTCTTTTCATTTAATAAAAAATAAAAAAAAAAAACTTTTTTTTAACCATAAGATAAGATTCTGTAAGTCAGCCACGGCTTGAAAGCTCACGAGCCAAATAAAGTAACTCGAACCGGTTATGCGGAGCTATATTTAATCCAAGCAATTAGGTCAGGCTAATTTCTAAATGAAAAATTACCTTGTATTAAGGATTACGCTAGATTAGAAATTTCATTTAAGTTGTAAATGAACTTTTTCCTTATTACACTGTAAAAATCTTAGTGAAATTTTGTTAATATAGAAATAAATCAGCAAAAAAGTTATTTCTCACTATTCCTGCCATTTTCTTCAACTATTTTAGTATGGATATTTATGTGTCGTTAAAAGTTTAATCGATTAGGCATTTCGAAATCTTTTTTTCTTTTAAATATGTAACAATGTTTGAAATTACAATAAAAGTAAAAGATCTACAAGAAGACAATTATGAAGTTTTATTTGACAATTGGCTGAGAATATTCTGTACTAAAAAATTGTTTACAAGAGAAAATTTAAGATACATTAAGAACCGGTATCAGATGTTAAGAAACATTTCCTCGTTAAAAAAATTATAAGACACATTTGAACCATGTTATAGTTATTTAGTTACCATAATTATTTAAAAAATATTATAATTTGTTAACTTTATTATCGAAACATTAAAAGGAGGATTGGATGGTTTCTTGTAAAACAAATAATCATATTTGAACCAATATCCGATGCTACATTAAATAATAATTATTTATTTGTTAAATCAAACATTAATTCTTTAATAATTAATTTTTTGAAAATATTAAGAATATAGGTAGCAAGTTATTTAAGTAATTTTATATTGTAATTTAATTATCAAACAATTTATTCATACTATCAAAATCTTCAAGTTTAGATTTAACATGTGGTAATTATCCATTATCCAACTATTTATTTACTTATTTTATTTAGCTTCATTTAGATTGGTGAGATGATTATTACAATATACAATGACTGTTTAACATGACAATTGTTGATTCTTATGTCTATATCATAAATTTACATCTTGAATTTAATTTAATGAGGATGTAATATGTATGTAAAGAATTTTATTGCACTCAAATTGTGGAAAAGCTTGTCATATATTTAAATAAAAAAAATAAACTAGTTCCAAACAAGAAATCACATAAACAGTTAAATCTGATACGAGAAATTTTACATCGAAAACCAGCTGCCACAAATAATTTTTAAAGTACTAGTATTAGTAAAGTTCTGGAACGAGCAATCACGCACATACGTTAGGGAATACAAGTACATCAAGAAATGTTTATATTTTCTTTACATTATACGAAAATAAAAAAATCTATTCACGAGATAACAATCGGACCCAAAACTGAATCCAAAATAAGCACCTATCCTTTACATTGTGAATATTTTTATCAATATTTGCTTTGTTCAGCTGAATTATTTAATACGAACTTTGAAGACACGATTTTTATTGTGAAAATCTGTGATTGCACTACCAAGTAAATTTAAAAAGATGTAAGACAGACAAGCGAGTCTATTGATCTTTATTATTGCCATTTCTGTAATGACTTCTTTAAACCAATAACGTCGGAATCATTCTACTTGATCGTAATAGTTCCGAACTCGATTATTATACCACGGATTTGAAATGTCATGTCCTCTATAAAAATATTTATCCAGGCAAATTGCGGTCCACCTATGTAATATAACTATCATGATAATTTATTTCAAGATGATTCATTTGTTGTCGCACCTTCCTCTTTTTGAAGTTCATTGTCTTTAGTTATCCTGCACTAGTCAAACTATTCACAAGTTCCAAGGCTCAAAACCAACGGGGCCTGCAGTTTCGAGGTAGATGATAACATGTGAACGGAAATTTGGCGTAGTACTTATCAAGGATGATAACTTATAGGGGTTGGTACACTGGCTGTCCAACCAAGGTCGTTCAAAGAAAGTACAATTCTAAAAGAACGACACTGCTGAGTATTCCCTTTAGCCTACAACATACCTGTAAAATAAAGTACTATTATTGAAATATCCCTTTCAAAAGAACATGTTAACCATAAATAATTACGCGATAATATTCATTAACTGGATTTCCGTCGATTCTTGAGTCACACTATATATGAACTGGTCTCGTTGATTGTCTTTATATTCGCTTAAATCAAATGTACCATTTTTAATGTTTTTAGGGTCTAAAATCACGTTACACATCAACTTTATCTAGAAAAAAGTTCCAAGTTGTTAATTATTGAATTGTTTATCTAATTTTTTTGTGAAAACTTCTATTATTAAAATTCGCGCCGTCTACGTTACACGTTGATATTGCAGTTAAATCTGGATTTTCGATAAAAATTTTCAAGTTGCTTTCATTTACAATTTACATAAGTATCCTACATTTAGGGCCAGAGATGACATCATTGTGACATTTCACACTTTCCATTTGATGATGTCGTTTCTTATTGTTATGTCGATCGATCGCTATATAAATAAGGAAATCCAACATACCAAATTACAATACAATCAGGTGCACAATTTGCAAAATGAGTAATTGTAATGTAATTGATCAATAAATAACAAAAACAAAAACAAAAAAAAAAATTTTATTGTCTCTTTTCTTTCTCCCTGAAATTTATTCAAAATTACTTCTGAAAATTTTCAAAAATGACGGTAAGTAGTCTATTGATATTAATTTCACAGGTGTGCCTATCGATTAAACAACGTTCGTTTCCATCGAGCACTTTAGATATCTTTTTATTTATTTATTTTTTTTTAACTTTTCGAATCAACATTTTATATATACTTCAGAATAATGAAGAGACAGGTTGCGAAATCACATTTATTAAAGTTACGAATGATAAGCTTTCATGGTCGAGAAACGTCGATCTCAAAGGAGCTAATCTCGCTGGAAATTACAAAGACATGCCATTTATCATCAAATGCATCGATACGAGCGAGAAAGTAAGCATCGATATCGTTAAAGAACTGAATGAGGTCATGCCTGAAAATCCCAATTTGCTGAAGATCATAGTCGTTTCAAAGGGGGGTTTTACGGAAGAATCATTGGAACTCGAAAAGAGAAATAAGTGTTTGATCCTTACCGACAAGGATCACTTGGTTTCGGATCTCATGGATCGTTACATGATGATTAAAAACGAACAAAATAATAATGGTTTCCTAATTTTTAAAGGGGGAAAGTTAACTATCATAATCATTCTATTCGTTATACTATTTTCGCCCTTTGCAATTCATTATCTTTTATCTTCATTCCTTCTCATCAATTATAGAATGTTTATATAATATGTACGCATTTTATACTTTATCATGTTTTTTTCGCGGTATATTGTAACTACATTATACATATTTTAATAAATAGTGATATCCGTTAATGTTTGATCAAGATCTTATGATATGAGTTTTGAAATTGTTCTCGTTCGCGTACCATAAATAATTGGATTTAATATAAATCAAAGTTTCTATATAATATAATCATTCTCCATGAAAATATTGTTTTTAGTACATCGTTCTCTTTTTTGATGGGAAAACTATGTAACATATCTAACCAATTGGAACTCAAATTAACATGTTAATCATAAATTAAAAGGCAGTGAATATCTATAAATTTAACATAATTTCAAGAATACCCAATATCTATTGAAATAAGCGCGCTTTTTATCCATGAAAGTTGTTCCTTTTTGAAAAGTTATACTTGTACTGTACATTATCAATTTAAGGTAGTTCATAAACCCTAATCGAAGCACTTTTTTCTTATTATATAATCAATTTTTTTTTTTTTTTTGCATTTCACACAAACCATTACAACCTAGAAATCCTCGTAAAATCCTCTCGTAAAATAAAATGTATATAATTATTTTATTTTAAAAAAAAAAAAAAATAGTGTATATATATGGTTAATTATAGTTACACTTAATAATAAACATGATCAGCGCGCAATCACCAAGTATACCTTTTATTTTGACACGAGTCTCGTGTAAAACAAAAAATGAACTATAATCAAAAAAAAAAAAGTAACAAAATTGCCGTAAAGAGTTGGAAGGTAGTATATTAACCAACGTTCTTTCCGTCGGCTCATTCGCCCTTAAGTGATCTGATAATAGATACCTCCTTGCATAACTCGATTTGACATTTCTTTTGTTTATTTTGTCAGAACAATAATAATACAAATCGAAAAATTCCGAATCAATGAATCATTGAATTTCATTGAATTTCGGAAAAAGGAATAGAAAATTTGATTCTTACAAACGAAGATAGCATGATCCCGATATTATGAATTTAAAATCGAACCAAAGATAAAGAAAGGAAGCGTATCACAAATTTTCAGGAATGAATTTCAAAGGTCATTAATAAAATCATTCTTTATTTTATATTTCACCCTGTATATTTCATTCATTTTTTATATCTCATTAACGAAATTTAGCATTATTGGACTAAGGTCATGCAACTTAGATTTTCGGTTCACGTACATTGAAATTTAAAATCGACCCGGAGACCCGGGGTTTATTAATGAACATTTATTATTAATAAAAAATGATTATATATAAATATTATGCCATCTGATTGTTCAATCTTTAACAAGGCCGTGCAAAGTAAATTTTCAGATTCTGTGACCCGGCCGTGTCAGTTTGCGAAAATTCGGGGATTTTTTTTATACAGTATAGTAAAATTTTTATCATGTGATCTTACATAATAGAATCGGCATATCAGATTTTGTTTAGATTTATCTTTATTTGTGTAATATAAGATTTATTTGTGTGATACATAACATATAAAAAACTTACATATCAGATATGGAAAACCCCCGAGTGACCGTGTCAATTTTAAAATTTTGAAAATTTAAAATTTTTCTTTGCCCGGCTTAATCATACGACAATCACATTTCATTTCAAAATCATCTTAACTCCGTCATAATGCCTATTACAATTATAAAGTTTTGAAGGATTGAGAAGGTTTACATGTTGAGAAAGAAGCAAAATTAAAAGATTTTTTTGGAAGTATATTGATTCTATATTACTCAACTGACTGGTGGGAAGCAGATTTTGAAATGAAGTTTAGCCCATCAAAAACATTAGTTGGAGAAAATATTTCAGCACAATGTATTCGCTTGTGAAACTAATGTATTGTAAGAAAGGAATTATACATAACGATAATACAATAAAATTACACTTTATAGTCACATGATAACTTTTTTTTATATAAACTTTTTTTTGTTAAAATTTGAAAAAGTGACCCGGCCGGGTGACGTGAAGTTGCATGGCTTAAGGATAAATTAAATTTTTTAAAATATTGTAAATAGGTTTGCTTATCGGATTCATGTAGGCGAAACTTCAGCATAAATAATTATCAAGGAATCTGCACCTTTGTTTGATTAATTCCAAGAACTAGTTCTTTCATTTATATTCTGATTTTTTGATACTACAAAAAAGACAATAATATACTGTAAACTTTTCCTTCATCTACAAAAATTTAATTCATAAAAAGTATATAAAGATTTTATGTCATGTTCCGAAATTTCTCATCATTTTTTTTTAATGTCGGAGTCAAAACTTTACCTTCAATAGATTATCAATATCAAAACCAACCAAAAAAAAAAAGTACACCACGCTGAAGATCGTTATTATCCAAAACAAGTATTACATTGTGAAATTTTGATCAAGAATGTATGAATGTTGTTGAGGAATATAAAGAAACACTTGATTTTAATATAGAAATTCCTGATATAGCTATAAATCCATTTCAGTAAAAAAGGAAAATAATGAACTTCATGAATTATTAGATCAATCCATAAATAAATTTTTAAGATGTCAAAATTAAATACCAAATTCAGATTCAAAACCTGATAATACAGTTTATAGAAGTAGAAGTGAAGGTTGTTTATTGCTCATAAAAAATAAAAATTGAACAAAATTTGCCAATTTGAAAGGAGATGAAATTCATACTTTATATAATGAACAAATAGTAAATTATATCAATATAAGTTATTGATTTAATAAATCAGACGTAGTACCACATATTTTACAAATTTATGAATATGTTTTATGGAAAAACTTTTTATGGAGTATTAACTACATAGGTGCTTAAAATTGTTGATGATCCAGATTAAAAAAGAATTTTGAATTTAAGTTTGAATGTAGAAAAAAGTTAGGTGAAAATCAACCATAGTTTTATATATTAAAAATAATTATTTTTGATATTTATAATTAACATTTTACGAGTATAATTTTGCATATTCGAGCCCTATTATAAATTCAAGGATTTTTTTTATAGGACTTTATTATTTATTTGTGAGAGATAACAGATCGATTAAAATTTTTTGTTAGCAAAAAAAAAAAAAAACTGATTGCAATGCATTTTTCACCAATACAACAAGATGAAAGATTGTAAATGAATATTTCGTTAAGCATTTAGTATTTAAAAAATAGTGACCCACCACTCTGTAAAACCTTATCAAAAGGTTGTTCATTATATAATTATGTAAAAAATTTCAAAAAAAAAGCAACGACGAATTTAATAATTTTTGGTTTTTAATGTACTAATCAAATTTGACCGAGTTAAATATCATACAGAAGTATTTATTACAAAATTTCAATTAGCCTTCTGTAGTAATTAATGATTTATTAAGAAGTCTAATGACGAGAATCTTATTGCAACTCCTCCGGATCGGAAATGACTTATTAATAATAATAATTTTCATTGATTTAATTTAAGATTTAAGGGTTATAGAAAAAACTATCCATGTGATTCAATTTCATTCGCCCGATGATAAACAAACATCGAAAAACCATAAGAATAGTCAGAAGTAGTGCCTAAACCTCGAAGGAGTTGTTTAGATGACCCGACTTTTTGTGGAATAACATTCACGATATGTTAATCAATATATATGTACGTAATTTATTATAAAAATTACGGTAAAAATATTTTGTTGCTTTTATGCTTATAACCTTTTATTGTTCTTATTGGCAGCTTTTAATGAATTAATTTTTTTTAATAATCCCTTAAAAATTCTCTTGGGCTAAACATCGATAATTACAAATAAACATAAAAATAAAAAAATCTTATATACATATATTCCATTGGTTCATGATATTTTTAAGATTTCGAATTGAAATAATCAATGAATAATTCATGGGGCATTTATGCATTTATGCCAGTGCGTCATTTAAAATATTTTGTTTTTGTTTTGAACTATCTTATAATAAATAAACAAAATTATAAATTACGCTAATATAATAGCATCGGTTTCACGAGCTGTACGATTTATGTACGTATTGCCTTATATATGTTATGAAAGATTCATTAGTTTCTTCCTTTTCTAAAGACATTATAGCTATATAAGTTCTATTAAAAGAAAAAATTTTGACTGCCATAAAAATAGAATTTTATTTTCAACCTCGTTAACTATATTAGACCACAATTTTATTTTTCTGGTTTCATAGTTCGTTTCATTTCTATTATAATAATTGGAATGGGTATATTTATCAATAAAATTTATTTGTAAATAATAATTTGTGAATAATCCATTTTAAAATGATACATCATGCATCAAGCATTGTAATTGTGTACACCACTTGAATAAGTACATACAATGAATAAATACGATGACGTTTAATTATAACAATGTTTTAAATATTGACAATAGAAATAATATATTTCGCTTCTTTGATTTATAATATATGATTTTAATTGAGCTGAATAAGTTGAGAAAGATTGTTTCATTCTAATTTATAATTATAAATATTTTATTCGATATCACATAAAGCAATTAAATTATTTAATAAAGTATACTTAAAGTTATGAAATATCATCACTTTTTTTTTTTTTTTAAAAAAAAAAAAAAAAGTTTGTTATCACTAATCCTCAACATCTTTTGTAACTCGCTTTATCAATTTTGTAAGTTTTTCTTTTTCTTTCCTTAAAAAAAAGTTTAATACGTTCAAAGTTGCAACGAGGTTACACAACATTAGGGCGCTTTGTAGTAGAAAGGGAGGAAACTACCAAAAAAATTTTATCTTGAGTTAATGTTAAATCCGGATTTATTTTACTAAAAAGAAAATAATATTTAGCTTATAAATAAAAAAATTTTTTCTGGTAGTTTCTTTCTTTCCTTTCTACTGCAAAGCACCCATATGTTCGTAACAAGCATTCATATAGTTGCCTGGCAAAACTCATTTTAACAAATGACAAAGTTCAGGCATTAAAACAGCATTGCATTTTATTATGTTATTGAAAAAAATGATAATATTATTTAAATTATGAAACTGTAATCCGACTGACTCGACTTTTACATAAATGTCACAGGATAAATTATGTATCTTTTTACAACTGGCGAGGAAACGGCAAAATCAAGTTTGAACCTTAAAAAATGCTTAGATTGTGGAAATGAACGAAAAAATATAAGATGGTGTAAAGTTTGTGAAACCAATGCCTTTAAAGAGAATTTTAGAAATTGGACTAGCGAAAATAATAATTTCGATAATTTTATTAAATATACTCAATTAAATGCGGCTGAGAATGTAGATTATTTGGAATATATTGATTTCGAACAGTTTGAATTTGTGGAAAATTTAAACAAAGATGGCGCGTTTAGCACAATTTATACAGCAATTTGGATGGAAGGTCCGCGTTGGAATTGGGATCAAGATGCCGAACAATGGATACGTACTGGACCAATAAAAGTCGTTCTTAAAAGACTTAATAACTCGCTTAGTATGAATGAGGAATATTTTAATCAAGTTAGTCATCATTACTATTGTTCATTTGGGAGGCGGTCAATAGAAAAGGGGGAATTTACAAATTTTTGAGTAATTTTAGTTATTAAGTTAGTTTTGTTCACATGACCATGATCGGCAGAGTGAACCAATAAAAAAACTTTTGACTAAAAAGTGGATTTCCCCCCTTTTCTACTGACCGCCTCCCATTTGGTTTTAAATTTTCATTTTAGTTAATTTTTTGTACATAAAAATATTATTTATTTATTTGATGGATCTGCATTTTTCATTTTATATATAACATTTTTTTTTTTTGTTCGATATATTATGAATGAAGCTTTATGAATATAGTCGATGCCTTCTGGATGTACACACTGCGGACGTGTTCGGAATAACAAGAGATCGTACTTCAAATTTTATGTTTGTAATGAAATATTATGAGAATGAAGATTTACATTCCTATCTTGATAAAGCGCAAGGAATGACTTGTTGGAGAGATATTGTAGACTTCCTTTGGGGAGCGTCCAAAGGTATCCAAATAATTCATGAAAATGGATTAATTCATAGTAATATTCACGGAGGCAATCTATTGGTTGAAAATATGCCTGATTTAGTGGAATCGCGTCTCAGTGACGCGGGGTTGCATTTTCCTATTGATAGAACAAATTCAAATAAAATATATGGCGTTCTTCCTTACGTGGCTCCTGAAGTCTTGCAAGGGAAACCAATAACAAAGGCCTCTGACATATTTAGCTTCGGAATTATTATGTGGACACTTTCTGCGGGTATTCGTCCATGGTGTAATAGACCACATGATCTTAAATTAGCTAGCGACATTTGCTCTGGTCTTCGACCTGAAATTATTGATGGAACTCCAAATGTTTATGCTCAATTAATGACGCGGTGTTGGCATTCTAATCCTTCCAAACGCCCAATTGCGTCTGAATTAATTGATATATTGGAAAATTGGATCTCTGCTATATGCAACGAACCTTATGCTTCCGAGATATCCGAACAATTTGATATTGCCGAGGAGAAGAAATTTTCAATGTTGGAAAGTAAAGAGGTTTATCAGAAAAGTGTCCATCCTGAAGCTTTTTATACAAGTAGGCAATTGTATTTTCCTGAATTAATTAATATTTAATTATCGTTGGCAAAAAGAAAAAGTTTAATTTGGCAAAAATTTTTACAATCTGAAATTTTCATTATGTATTCATTTTTTTTCTCTTTCTCTTACTAAGGATTTATGAACATTATGCAAAACACTTTTAATGGTTAAGTGGTAGTGATATCTGATGATGTATAATAAATTACTAATAATAATTAATTTGGATTAATTGAAATAATAATTAATTTAATATTATCAATTACAAGTTTTATAATTTATAGAATTTATTATATCTTCTAAATAATTCAGTTTAAAATAAGTTTATTAATAGGAAAATATGATTAAGAATAAGAAAATATAATTAAAAAATTTAAATATAGAAGATTAAGAAATTCATTAAGTTATTTTTTTTAAAACTAAGTAAAAAACTAATGAAAGCTAAAGAGAAGACTATTAAAAGATTCTATATTTCTTTATATTAATATAAAATTAATTATATAAATAAATAATACTAATAAATTAAATTTTTTATATTAATTTAATTAATATGTTTACTATATCAATAATATTAATTATATCAAAAATATTAATAATATTAAATATTTCAGATTTGTAAATTATTTATACTATATATTTTATATTATATTAACCTATTTATTTTATATTATAAAAATTAAAAATATATTTAAAAATTAAATTTTGTTAGAAAGATTAATAATTTTTATTTGAATTATTTTTGTATTAAAATTATAATTATTCTTTAATAAATAAGATTAATAAAATAATTATAATATAAATAAAATTGATTTTTTATATAAATATTTAATACATATTTAATATTAAAATTAAGATTACTAAATAAAACTTAAAGATTCTACATTAAAATCTTATTAAAAAATCTATGAAATTCAGAAAAAAATCAAATAATATCAAAATTTAAAAAGTGAAATTATATTAAAACTTTAATAATTAATAAAACTAAAAGTTTAATGTTTTGTCAAATCTAAAAAAGTTTAATTTAATTTAATTAGTTTAAATTATCAAAAAATTAATACTGTATATTTAATAAGTTGTATTTTAATTAATTATATTATATTATATATAATAAATATAAAGTATTTTTGAAAATTTATCAAATTTTAAATTTTTAATATTAAGTTATTATTTTATAACAAATATTTTATTTCTATTTTAACATAATTTTTTATTTTATAAATAATAATTAATAAATATTATTAATTAATTTTATATAAATTAAATTTATTTAAAAAATAAAATTTAAATATCCAGATAAATTAATAGCAAAATATAAAACATTTAGTTTAGTCATTTAAATATTAAAAAATAAATTTTATTAAAAATCAGAAAAAAGTAAACTTATATTAAAACTTATAATAATTATATTGTTATTTTAATTAAAAATTAACAAACTAAAGATTTAAATATTTGTTAAATCTAAAATATATATAATAAATAGCTTTACATCTATCAGTTAATAATTATTAAAATCTAAATTTATGATCCAAATATTTAAATAATAAATGTATTATTTTCTATATTTTAATCATTCTATACTATATTATAAACTATTTTACATATTTCAATATTCTAATAATATTTTATAATAATTTATCTTTGAGTAATTAAAATATGTAATCCTTAATTTTTAAAAATTTTGAAAAAAAATGAATAAAGTAATATAAATTTTATACTTAGTAAAATGTTCTAATTGTATTTTTTTTTGAATTTATTGTAAAAAAAAAGAATTTAATATTTATAATTTATAATTTATTAAATTAAAAAAAGTTTAAAAAAAATAAAATTGTTTAATTTAAGCTTTATGTTATTTTTATTTTTTTTTTTTTTAATTTTAATGATTATCAATATATGATGTTTAAGATTTCATATAATATCAGTATTAATTAGTGAAATCAATTTCTAAACTCATACCTTTTTATGTAAGGCCAAGTCTTTAAAACATAAGCAATAGCTTCTATAAAATCCTTTGAGGTAAACTGTAGCATTGGAAATAATTTATTAATGCTGTGCTTCTAATGCATTACACCAATAAATATTTATATTATAATATTTAAATTAAAAAGAGTCGCAGCATTATTTTATAAATATTAGTAAAAATGCGGTTATAACAATATTTTAGAGATAATGATTTAACCAAATTGAACCTTCATCTTATTTTAACAAACTACAAAGAATAAATGAACAAAGCATTGCAAAATTTTTCTTTGATCACATTGCTTGATACAATAATGAAATGATATTCTATTGTCTGAAAACCAGTTAGGGGGCGGTTGTACTACATAACCTTTTTCAATCATTTTAATCAATAGTATAAAAATGCCTCCAAAATAATTTTTTTTTTAAAAAAAAAAAAAATTGCCTGACACCTTTATTATTAAAAAAAAAATTTTACAAAAAAAAAAAAAAAAAACAAAAACAAAGAAAGAAACTATCCCTTTCTAAAATGACTTATTTTAATGGGTACACTAAAGCAAGAGAGTTTGTATCAACTCAAGAGCTTTTAACCAACTTAACCGACAACAAAATCAAGTTTCAACGCCAGCATCTCATTCAACTTGTGATGAAGGATATAACTACAATAGTTATAGACCCCAACAAAAAAATTCATTAAATTCAAAATTCTTTTAATTTTGTTTTAATGAATATTTTAATTATGACACCGCGGAAGGCGGTGTCCTTTTTATTTAAAAGGAGAATTTTTCGGGTCGGTATACTTTTTTTTTTCTTTTTTTGTTAAATTCAAAGAGAATTATAATGTTAATTTTTTTACTGATATATATATATTTTTTTAAAACAATAGCGATTATTTGAAAGATTTTTCTTCTAAAAAAAATAAATTTAACTAGAATAGCTATTTTTTTTTTTTACTAGATCATATGATTTACTATGTCTCGTAAACTCGATTTTAATAGCAAACGACCCAAACAACCCACATATACATTTTTATCACACTGTTATAATTTCCTTAATACTTTTTGAAATTATTTTAATAAAAAAATTGATCTTCTAAAATCTATTTATAACAAAAAAAAAAAAATGAACTATCTTCAATTTAGTAAGTGATAATCCACGAGTTATTTTTATATTCGAAATTACATGAAATATTCATGAAATATTCATTGTTGAACAAATTCAATTTTTTTTACTCATCATCTTGCGTTAGAACGTTTCCACAATAAAAAACATTTTTTTTTTTTTTTTTTTTTTTTTTTTTTTTTTTACGATGTGGTACTGTCATAAGTTTATTATATTCATACAAATAAAAAATTTAAGAATATTCCACAATAAAAACATTAAAAAAGGCAGATTTTCCATTATTAATTTAGTGATAAATGACCAAAGTCATTTGAAAATTTACTCACACAATATATATAATCGTTCGAATAAAAATAAACGAGGTTATTTTTTATTCTGAAAAAAAAAAAACTGATTATATTCGGTAATTGGAGAATTTGTTTATTCAGACGATTAATAATTTTTTTTTTAAAGAAAAGGAATTACATTATAAAATTTACATTTCAGTTGAATTAAGATAGTGCTGCCACAAACGTGTAACTAGAAATTCGTAACCTTTTGTTATTATTGAATTGGCCGATGTGTTTATGCATATATATTCTGCATGGACTATTATCATCCAAAACATCTAAAAGTTGATTTTTCACAGATACTAGGAGGTTTGCTATTAAAATCACGTTACGGGTCATATGATTTACAGTGTGAAAAAAATTTTTAACCAATGGGTTTATCATGATAGGATTCGGTAACCGTTGTACTGTAGTATAACAGGGACTTATAATAAAAATCAATAATTTTACTCCATTTTTTTAATGTTCAATTGTTGTGAAACACCAGAATTCCTTTATAAAATTTAGAATAAATAACAAAAAAATGACAAAAACGACAAAAAAATGTTATATATAGAGGCAGAACTCCTAATATCAATTGAATTTACTTGTTCAGATAAAAAAAAAAGTTCGTTCTCAATTGAATAAACCCATAGTCATTATAGAAAAAAAAATATTATTCTTCTTTGATCTTCATAAATCAAAATAAGTGAAAAATATTTTCGTACGAAGAATATCATATTACATTTATTGAATCCTTTACGAATTATAGTCCTCTCATTAGAATTCTACATAATTAAAAGTTGTAAATTTTTTTTTTGTATTGAAATTTTTTCTTTACCATAACTCCACCATCTCCAGCTCCAGCTCAATCACCCCCCACTACTGTCGCCACCACCACCACCATCACGATCACCATCCCCCTCCCCCTCTCATCCTCCTCATCCTCATCCGGAAGACTGACCTTTTTTATAAAATTAACTGATTAAAACTTCGCCAAGAATGGATGCTAATTTGGATTTTGGAAAGTGCTTTGATTGTGGGAGCGAACGAAGTAATGCAAGATGGTGTAAAGTTTGTGAATATAATGCCTTTAAAGAAAATTTTAGCAATTGGACAAGTGGTAATCTTAATGTTGATAATTTTATTAAATATACTCAATTAAATGCGGCTGAGAATGTAGATTATTTGGAATATATTGATTTCGAGCAGTTTGAATTTGTGGAAAACATAAAAAAAGGTGAGAATCTTAGCACAATTTATTCGGCAATTTGGATGGAAGGTCCGCGTTGGACTTGGGATCAAGATGCCGATCAATGGACACGAAATGGACCTACAAAGGTTGCTATGAAGAGACTTAATAATTCGCAAAATATAAGTGAAGATCATTTGAAGCAAGTAAGTTATGTTTAGTTGTTATTATTGTTTAAACCTTCAAAAGGTTTTTCATATTAATAACGATTTGTTCTATTAATTTTTAATGAAGCTTTATAATTATCATCATTGTTTACACGGTGGATGTGTTGCAGATTTTTTTGGAATAACTAAAGATTATACTTCTCATTATATGTTTGTCATGAAATATTATGAATTTTATGAAAATAGAGACTTATATTCATACCTTGATGAAACTCAAGGAAAGCTTTCTTGGAGAGATACAGCAGAAATGCTTTGGAGTATTTCTGGAAGAATTGTACATTACCATGAAAATGGATTAATTCATGGAAATCTTCATGGAGGAAATATATTAATTGAAGATAAACATGATTCTTTTGATAATATTGATATCCTAGATATTGAACCATTTTCAATCCATAAGAAACTTTCAAATGAAATATATGGAGTTCTTCCTTATATTGCACCCGAAATTTTGAAAGGAAATACGCTAACTGAGGCTGCAGATATTTATAGTTTTGGAATGGTCATGTGGACACTTTCTGCAGGGGAACGCCCCTGGTATAATATATCACATGATTCTAAATTGGCCAGTGAAATTTGTTCCGGTCTTCGTCCTGAAATTATTGATGGGACTCCTATCGTTTATGCTCAACTAATGACGCATTGCTTGAATTCCGATCCTTCAAGTCGTCCGACTACATCTGAATTATATGATGCGCTATGTACTTGGATAGATGCTATTGATGTTTCTGATCCATCTGAAAATTTTGATCTCGGAAGGCGTTCAAATTTGAAAAAAAACGGAGCTCAACAAAAAATCCATCCCGAAGCTTTGTATACAAGCAGGTTCTTGTATTTTCCTGAACTGTATAATCCTGTTGAAAATGTTTATAAGCTCGTGTAAAAGAAATTTCTGATTTCTCAAAATAATATTAAGCAACTATTATCTTAAGTATAAAACTCATTATGCATTACGCGACATGTACTTTTATGTTTCTTTTCTTACTTTTTTATTAAATATCACAACATTATTCCTTAAATTTATTTTAACATATTTAAGAAAAATTAATAAGATATTAGTTAAGTGTTAAAGTTTTTATGCAACTAATGAAAATAAACTCAAAGTAGCAGAAACCTCATTTCCAATATTTTCTTTATTCTCACTGTATCAATAATGGTCATGTGAACAAAATTGAAATAAACATAAATTATATAGTTCAACACCATTTTACTGAAAAATTAAAAGTAACCATTCCAGCAATGTCCCTTTTTTTGGTGATACTTCCTTTAAAAAGTAGCTAAAACAGAATTTAAATTTTTTATTTTTTTATACATACAACATGTTTTTTGTAGCAAATTTTGCACTACAACATGTTCGTTTATAAAAGTTACCAATTATGATATAAAGCTTTTATTTTTTTAGTATATAATTTTATTTTTGTAACAGAAATTGATACATCATCAGATTGTTAAAATACTAAATAATCAATATTCTTTTCACTTGTCATTGATTTAAACAAATAAATTAGTAAATTCTTTCCTGTTAATTTTTTTTTTTTTTTAACAACCATTTATCAAAAAAGGATAACAATTTATAAATAAAGATGCATTCACAATTTTGTGTAACACGTTTCTGTAACGTTGTATAAAGAAGGAAACGAGATTAGCACCATATTTGTTTCTTATTTATGGAACTATTTTAGATTATCCTAATAGAATAAATAATCTTTGTATAACTTAAAAACAAAGGGCGAGCGCATATAGTTAAATAAAGTTTTAGTTGTAATATATAGAGTTAATTTTATATTTAAAAATAGATGAGAAATTAATCTATAGTCTTACAATTTATCCGCAGTCTTAATTTGAAGTTAATGAAGTTAATTTTGGTTCAATTAATTTAACGTAAGATGATAATTTCATAGGTTTCGATTACTTTAATTTACCGTATATGCTTCCGCATAAACTAAGTAATTAATGAATTTTTCCATATTCCCATATTCTAAATTTAATTATGCAAGGAATTTTAATTTAAAAAAATATTCTTAAAAAGAACTAGGGCCAATCAATTTAGCGATTATTTTGATACTATTTATTATTATTTATTTATTATTTATTTTTTTTTATTTGATTTATCTTAAGTTCATTTCTCAGGTCACCGGTTCAACGAGGGACAATAGTGTGGTACCGTTGACATGGCAGTTCGTTAAGGATTTTTTTTTTTTTTTTTATGGATAATTTCTTTTTTGATTGTTTAATTTGATATATTAAAAAATTAATTGTGTCTTATGTAACCCACATCGGCTGTTGCATGAAAACTATAATATAGGTTTAATTTGATAATGCCGCTTTGTGACGTCAAAAAAAACCCCAATTTTTAAAAGTGCGATAATTACACAAATACAACCATTGTATCAATTAAACGTACAATATGTAATTTAAAGCAAAGAAAATATTAACATTATATTCGTTCACAATTTTTCTCAATAACCTCCTTACAACGCTGTGTCATTGAGTTTACAAGATTAATTAAAAGCTATTTGGAATATTTCCCCACTCATCCCCACAAACTGCTCTAATTCGCTATCCATTTTCCTTTTAATAATTGCTCAGGTTTTCAGTCTGGACTATTAGAGGGCCAATCGGATATTAATATCAAGGAATTCCTTAGCATAAGACTAGTATCCTTCCTGTTGCAGCAGTCATCTACCTCGTAAAATACTGCGCACTTGGAGTTGCTTTTCTAATATTTCCGTATAGATTTTTCGTCTTTATACGCCTAAACAAAAGACGGTACCTTTTACAAAAGCCACCCAGGCGAATATTTTACTCCGGTCCTTTGGAATCGGGCGAACTGGCCTGCATTTTTATAACTATGCTTTATCGTATTACGGTCGTTTCGTCACTAAATAGGGTCTTTTTCAACACGTTTTACTTATGGAATGTGTTAGCATTGTGTACTATACGAAGGAAAGTTCATTTCAGTATCCAAGGTCAGTCAAATTTAATTTAGTAGCAACAGATCTGACAGAAAAGTGAGGGTTTCCTTCGAATATTACTGCCCAATTGTTCGGGATGCACTTTCTTAATACCAGCAACTTCAATTAATTATTATAAGGTTTTGGTAGATAGTATATAGTGGAAACTTTTTCAATGAGCGTTTCAACCAAAAATGTAAGATGAGGTCGATTATTTTTCGAAAAAAATTGTGGAAAACTTTTCCTATGGAACAACTATTGTGCAGAAATGCGGGTAGTAACTAAACAAATTTCTCTTACTATTCTTGTTTGTTTATTCTTTGGCCATTAGTTGGACTGTAGAAAAACAAACTCCATTAGATTGTCAAATCACATGATTAGTCCGGAGCGAAGCGAAGGACTATATATTGATATATCTGATATTCTATGCGCTGTGTCCTGTCCCAATGTCCGCCCGCTCAATAATGATTCGGTGCTATTGGCTTTGGCAATATTTTTTTTTAGTTAAGATCGTTCCGGACTTAACAACGGTTCCCGTTCCCCTAGTATATTTAAGTGCGCAGTATCATACGACATATAGAACATAAATAAAAAAAATAAAAATTAAATAAACATTTATTTCCTTCCATTAATAATACAAGCGCGATAATTTTATCTTTTGTAAAAAAAAAAAAAAATCTTGTTCAGAAATTACTTAACGGTTATAATTAATAGTATTTATTTTCACTTTTTTTTTTATGAATCCATCATTTATTACCATCTTTTTGCATTGCTTCATATAATAAACTAATTGTCTGTCTTAATTTTAATGAATCTTTTCCTTGTATCAATTCCATAGTAGGTTGAATTTGAAAATGACTTCGATTTTTATATGAAAAGATTAATTTCTTTGGTTATTTCAATAATTCTTAATTTTAATAATCTGCTACATAAATATCGATATGTAGACTCCGTGAAAATTGGTAACATCAAATAAATTTACCTATTAAGAAAATTTGGGTAGGTTAAGCCAATGACAAATATGCTAACAACTAACCAAAAAAAAATGATAAATGTGACTTTAAAATTGTAATGTGCCTGTAGCTCATGTGACTCTACCATTTCCTGCGCTTGTTACATCCGCATTTCAATTCAAACGAACGAACATATAGGCTAGGCATATAAAGGATGAACCTTTAAATCAAAAAAAAAAATGTAAGTTTTTTCTTTAATATAATTAATTAATCGTCTTATTCCTCCGAACGTTCCATGCAAGCTAGTATGGCGAATAAATTCTTACTTTACCCTAGAACGTCATATAATATTTATCTGCATTAGCAGGACTCTTGTCATATGATCAAGAAATTGACCTTTTTATAAATTTCACAGATTAAAAAATCGCCTTCTCAAAACATGGATGATAATTCGGATTTTGGAAAATGCTTTGATTGCGAAAACGAACGAAGTGATGCAAAATGGTAAACAAGATTCGTTTGAAAATATTGATATTCCAGATATTGAACCGTATTCAATTGATAAACAAAGTTCGAATGAAATTTATGGAGTTATTCCTTATATAGTTCCCGAAATCTTGCAAGGAAAACCGCTAACTGAGGCCGCAGACGTTTATAGTTTTGGAATGATCATGTGGACAACTCTCTTCAGGTGTTCACCTATGGTGTAATAGACCACATGATTCTAAATTGGCCAGTGAAATTTGTTCCGGTCTTCGTCCTGAAATTGGAACTCCAAACGTTTATACTCAATTAATGACACGATGTTGGAATTTTGATCCTTTAAGTCGTCCAACTACATCTGAATTATATGAAAAGTTAGAAACTTGGATAAGCGCTATTGATGGCCCTGATCCATCAGAATTATCCGAAGAGCTTTCAAACTTGAAAAAAGCAAATTTGGTCAACAGAATATCCTTTTATACAAGCAGATTTTTGTATTTTCCTTAAGTTTTTTAAGATGATGAGTTAAGATTATGAATAATAACATTTTTATCGATATTTTTTTATGCAAAGAAAAAAGAACTATAGTTTTTAAGTCAAAATTATAAATAAACTCGTATCTGCAATAATTATAAAAATAGCTGCGGCAACTATTGAGATTTAAAATAATACTTAAAAAAATATATTATAAAAAACTAATTTTATTAAAGGTTTGCGTATTTTCTTGATAAAATTTTATTCTTTAAAATTTACTTTATATGATATATGTTCTGATTTAACATCAATTTTCCGGAAGTTCACCGTATCTAATTCATGCATGATAGGAAATATGCTTTTCTAAATTTTATTTTACTAATGTTTTTTAATTTTTCCCGAATATAGTTCTTATTAAATTTAAAAGATTATGCAAAAAAATTTGAACATTTGCAGTAAAATGAAACTAAGGTTTGATATTAAAATCACGTTATGGATTACATGCTCGTAACTCACCCATTTTTGAACATATTTAAGAAAAGAGGGTCTAGAATATTATCTTAAACCGTAGTTAAGGTCAAGGACGCTCAATTTTAAATTCGTTATTTTAAAATATATTTCGGCGATCCAGTAAATAACTCGTTCTGCGGTATTACATAAGAATTCTTTGTCATAAGTTTTGAATTGTAATTTAATGTTAAAATTTTACTCCACATCGTCTCATTATGAAAGCAGTGGAGTTAAATATTACATAATAATCCTACTACTAGGAATAAAACAATGTCCATGTATATATATTTCTACGTAAGCCAATTACTTACTATTTTCACCAGGAATAAAATGTTACACAAACACCGCTGTAACTCATTAAAAAATTTAATAATGCTCTTTATTTATAATACGGAACTTTGTATCTTGCAGGTAACTGTTCCGATAATAATGCACAAAATATCAATAATTTCTGTGAATACATAAAAAGTTTTATTAATTTAAAGATATCATTAAAAATTTATTAATTTAACAAATTAAAAAAAAATAAATTTTTTGTATTACTTCAAATTATAACGTTTCATGTTAAACCTTCGTTTTGAAAAAAGAAAATACTCATTTACTTTTAATTTTATTTTAATTATAATATTTTATATTCCGAATTTCGCTGGCATTTACCATTTAGAAACTCTCTGAACCTATAAATGTTACCAACAATGGCATTTCGTCATATTAAAAGCTCTTTTTTTTTAAAAAAAAAAAAAAAAGAATACTCATATTCTTACCAAAAAAAGAAATTAATCTCGAAAACAAACTTTTTTAACATGATTCAATAATAGAATTTTTCAAATTTTTCCTGATACAAAAGTTTATGCTATCCCGGTTGATTATGAGGAAACTAACTCCTTCAAGCAAAAAATTTCTGCTTACATTCTCACGGTTTGGCAGCGGCTTATCGCCTGATTATCGCACAGGGATTTAGTCATTATACTAATTATAATGCAGAAAAATTTCGTAGTTCTTTCGTCAATCATCAAGGCAAAGAAGAAATAAGAGTTATTGTCAATGATATTTTATTTAGCAAAAATTCTTGCATTGAGGAAAAATGGACTGAAGCGGTAAATAGATTGGTCGAGAAAACTGATCAGAATTGATATAATATCTCTTTTAGAATGTGATTTTTACTACAACAAAGGGATCGCTAGTCGTGTCGTTCTTTGGATATGGTTAAAGCATATAAAATGTGTTTCTGCAGCGGAATTCCTAAAGGTCCTCTTTGAGGACACTTTAGAAGATTGGAAAAAGATGCAAGAAAAGCCAGTTATTTGCAAGTGAAATTGATGAAGAGTTCTTGTCAAGAATAGCAACGAAAGAATCGATTGGTTCAGACACTAGCTATAATATTAATTCAACTGAACCACTAGATATTTCTGATGGAAGGGTTGCAGTCCCATTTACAACTATACTGGCGCAACAAGAATTACTCGAAAATTCTAATGAAGTGGTTGCCCCACCAATTATTGGTTGTCTGTCATTGATGCGAAGAGGAGCTTGTTAAATTTGTTCGCCATTTATCGACACATGAAAAGTTAAAATTAATAAAATGAAGTCCATGTTATTGTTTATTACATTAAATAATTTTTATGTCTTTCTTACAACAAAATTATTTTCTTTATTATATAGTGGAAAAACAAGTAAGAATGAATATGTTCAAAAAAAAGGAACAATTTATGTTCAGTATGTCATAAATTATATTTATTATTTTAGTAAATATGAAATTTAACTAATACAAAATATGGAAATATTAGCTAATATATTTGTATGTATGGTATAATAGGTTTTTTTTATATCATAATTTCAATAATTTATTGGAATATTTTTATTTTTTAAATTCGTATAACATAATTCCCGTTGTTTTTTGAGTTTCGGTAACTAATTTAAAAATAACGAATTTTATAAGTTTGAACATATATATGTAAATCAATTAAATTTTCAAAATTATTATTAAATTATGAAAATTGGGATTAACATTTAACATATTTGTTAAAATAATATTTGATAGTCAAATATAAAAAGAAGCGTAAATATTTTGTATCATTTCATCCTTTTTTCAAATGTAGGAAAGAAGATTAATAATTTCGTCTTATTCCAACTTTGGCAATCCGCACAAGTCGTCTTTCCTTAGAATAAATACCAAATGTTTTTTAGATGATTACGGGTGCGGAATTTTCCAAATTCATTTTGTATTTCGGTTTTCAAATCTTTCCATTGTATCATCGAATTTTGTGCAAAAGCATTTTCAACCCATCTATAAATAAAATCCTTTTCTTCGTCTGAGATAGGATCTTGGTCAACTAAACGAAAGGATATAATTTAATTAAAGGAATTAATAATTAAGACACATGATTTACTTACTACGTGGATCGAGTACATTCCACCAACTAATTTTTCGTTGTAAAATGGTTAATATGAACATACTTTAAAATAAAGTGTATATATATATATATATAGTTAACTTACTGATGAGAAATTTGTTTGGGCTTAAACGGAATAATTTTGCTTAATTTTGCAAAGGGATTTTTAACGTATCCGTTGTTTTTCATATAATCTACAATAATCTTCTCGTTCTAAATGATGGATTCAGATCAATTTTTATTCATAATGCATAAAAAAACAAATCATTAAACATACATCTGGATCGAATTTAGACTTCATCGTTATTTTCAGTTTATAGGAAAAAATTAAAAATTAAAAAAAATAGTTGAAAAATCTGTTTAGACTTCTTTTTATAAAATTAATTTATTTCATTTCTCAAAATGTTATTGCTTTCATTTAATGAATATACTAGAACTTTGTATGATGACCATTAACAAAAATTGTCAAAGTAATGATTATTAAGTGAAATGAAACCCTTATGAAACAAATTCGTTCTAATTTAACAAAATATAGTTACGTAATCGGAATTCGGAATTCGGAAATTGCAGACCGATTAATCAATGAAACGGTAGAAATGTTCGGGAAGTCCGGAATAATGCAAATTTCGGTAAAATTTTTGAAACGTCCAGAAAATATGCCAAAAATGTATTTATAAGCTATCCGATATAATCTGCGAAATTTGAAATAATGTAACATTAAATAAATAATATTTTATCACACATTTCTTAAAATATCATACTACTACGAATATATATTACAATTA